TGGGGTGCTTAACCACTGAGCCACATCCTCAGTCCCTTTTTTATATTGTATTTAGAGACAGGGTCTCGCTGAGGCTGGTCCTGAACTCACAGTCCTCCTGCCTCAGCCTCCTGAGCTGCTGAGATTATAGCATGAGCCACTAGCCCAGGTCCTACGCTGGCTCTTTCTATGCTCTCTGATTTTCATCCCTCTCCTTGCTTTATTCCCACCTCCTTCCCTCTGCTCRTTCCTCAGCTCACTGTGGTCTGGCCGACATTCCCCCTCCATGAAACTGCCCTTCCTGACATCACCCAGTCAATGGCCACCAGTGGTCACATCTCTAGGTTTGCTCCAGGGCTCACTGGCCTTGGCTTCCCTCCAGCCCTGTGCCTGAAGAACTCTTCCTTTTCAACTTTTTTTTTTTTTGTACCAGGGATTGAACCTAGGGTTGCTTGACTACTGAGCCACATCCCCAGTCTTTTTAAATTTTTTTTGATTTTGAGATGGTCTTGCTAAGTTGCTGAGGCCAGCCTCAAACTTGCAATCCTCCTACCTCAGCCTCCCAGTCTCTGGGATTTCAGGTGTGCGCCACTGCGTTTCACTTTCTGCTTGGTTTTTATCCTCACCTTCTGCATCTCCTCTGGCATTTCCAAGGGTTGCTTGTCAGCTTTCTGGAGCCCCTCTTCCTCTGCTTCTCTGTGGACTGCAGGTGTCACCAGGGCTCAGCCCCGGTCTCCTCCTCACCCACACACTCCCAGGGGGTTCTTACCAAAGGCAGTCCTCACCCCTCGTCCGCAGGCACTTCTAGAAAGAGATGGCACACGGCCTCTCTGCCTCCTCACCATTCTTTTACTCCTCTGCCAGGCACTCAGCTCCCCACCAGAGTGGCCAGCACCCTGTCACTGATTCCCCAGGGGATGTCTCAGCAGCATTGGGCACGTCCACACCTCTTCCTTCCATGGAGAGCGCTCTTCCCCTGGGTCCGTGGTGCAATATGCTTCTCAGTGTCCACTGCCCCCTTCTCAGCCTCTTGGGGAGACCTTCTTTCTTCTGTCCTTCTCTTAAGTGCCGAGCTCCTCTTCCTGCTCTGTAGATGCCTTTGGTGACTGTTTTCACGTTAAGGACTTGGCGTCTCCATTTCCAGGCCCCTGTGTGCAGCTGGCTCACTCCCCTGGGTGCCCCACAGCGGCCACACCTGGCCACACCTAGAGCCTAAGTTCTCACCATGTCACCCCCCAAAAAATCCTGCTCCTCTTCCTGGGGCCTCCGTCTTAGCAAAGGCCCAACAGCTGTCCCCTGACATGGGCCCCCCATCTCCAGGTCACCTTGGCCTGTGCTGTGCCCTGTCCCTGGTCTTCCCACGCAACCCCTGGTCCTCGATCCTTTCCTCCCTCTTGGCTCGGCCCCAGCTCTTCTCCCTGAGTCCTCACCTGGCATCTCCCCCTGGCCCTTGGCCGTCCTTCAACCCGTCCTCCCCGCTGCGGAGGGGTCTTTCTGACACGAAGCCCCAGCCTGCCCTTCCAGTGTCCTGCTGATTCCTCCTGGCCTCGAGGACAGCTCAGGCTGGAGGCCCTTCCTCTCTGGCCCCTGCYTTGCCCCCCGGCCTCCTGTCTGAAGTCTCCTGCTTCCCTGTGCTGAGGAGGCCACGCTCTCCCTGCCCTGCCCTTGATGGCACTGAAGAAGGGTTGGGGTGGAGCTGGGGGAGAGCGCTGGCCAGTGCACCACGGCCGGGGCCATCCCTGGCACTGAAAGAAAATAATAATAATAATAATAATAATAATAATAATAATAATACTGAAGAAAAAGGCACGCAGGGCATGTCTGCCGGTCGAGTGAGTGGCGGGCAGTGGGACTCTGAGGAGAATCTGTCCTCCACGGAGGAGGCAGGAAGGGATCGAGGAGTCTGGTAAGGTCCCTCCAGAGGACGGCCAGGCGGACCACTAGTGGTCAACATCTCTAGGCAGAAGCCCAGAGGGAACATTCATTTCAACAAGGATTTAAGTAAAAACAATAAGTAAGGGGGGTTTTAACATCTTRGAAGGGGAAGCGGTCCCTCAAATCTTCAAGGACATAAATTTGTCATAGAGCTGAAAGAAAAGGCCCAGAGTAGAAAAAATAATCCCAAACAATTCTAAACCAACAAGAAGGATGGTAAATTTTAAGTTCATTCATGAAATAGTCACATCGGCTTGCCAGATGTGGTGGCGCATGCCTGTCATGCCAGTGACGCGGGAGGCTGARACAGGAGGATCCCAAGTTCAAGGCCAGCTTCAGCAACTTAACAGGCCCCTGTCTCAAAAAATAGAAAGGGCTGGGGATGTAGCTCAGTGGTAGAGCACCCCTGGGATCCACCCCCAGTGCCCCGCCCCCACACACAAACAATAATAACATCGACTCTATACAAATAAATTGCATACTTCAGAAATCATCACTCTAGCCACACTTGCAGTTCCTCTGCTCCCTCCTGCTGCCCCACACCTGCCTTTTATATGCGTGGTTCCCTCTGCCTGGAACTCATTCTGCCTGAGGAATCTGGCGGGAGAACTTGAACCTTTCCTTTTCTGTGACAATGAGGATGGGAGATAACTACAGCACCCACCTCACGAGGTGGTGCTTGCCAAGCCCTGAAGAGCCCTCCTTGTCAGGGGGTCAGTGTCACACTTAGCGACACTCTGCCTTTAGGACTGAGACTGCTCAGTGACGCCTGCGGTGGTCTTCGTCTCCCCTCCCCCTCTGCCTGCCTCCCTGCRTCGTACTTGCTCTCCTGTTCTGAAGTCAGGAGTCGTCCCTGCAGCCTGTACTCCCCCCAGGAGCCCCCAGGGGGGACACCCTYACCTCCCTTTCTCTGGGGTGGGAAGGGAGGTACAGGATCCAGTATTTGGCCTGGGCTCACAGTCAGAGACTCTGGCCTGAGGTCCAGCTGGGTCTGCAGCCTGAGCCCCGGGTCCATGCTGCCGAGCTCCCTCCTGCAGTCTCTATTCTGATTTTTCCAGCCCCGGCATCAGGTGTATCGACAGCTTCTTGCTGCTTGACTTCTCCTAAGTGGCTTAYAACTACTCTCCTTCCTTCTCCACTCGATTCTCTTCCCTTGGGCCTCTTTTAGTGATTGACCCCACAGTTCACCTGCACCCTAGGCCAGAATCACCCAGGCTCCTGGCCGCTCCTCTCTGCTAAGCATGTCTCCTCTGTCTGCACTACCCACAGTTTTGTTTAAGGCTTTCTTACTTTCTCATCTGGATGAATGGAGTCAGCTCCACCCAAATATTCCTTTGGTCTCCTGTCTCCACCCTGGTTCCCAGTTGAATCTTCACAATATGTAAACTGGACCAGTTATGTCCAATGCAAATTGGATCTCACTCCTGATTCATTTTCCCATGGCTCCCTGTTGTCCAAGCAGCTCTGAAGAGGTCCCAAGAAAGACTCTTCAAAATAAGTGGTTTGTGTCCAAAATGTTGGGGAAACGCAGCTTCCTCTGTCCCTCTCTTATATGCTCTGCATGAGAGTGTCATAGAGTTTGCAAAAAGTCTCACTGTAACAAATCCTGTTTGCATTTGTTTGACCCACGGGGTCCTGGTCTTACCTGTTACAGTAGCCTTTTCTCCAAGTCTTCCTATTGGTATTTAAGGGAATCTCCTTCCAAGGAATACTCTTTGGAAAATGCCACGTGGCAGGATCAAGTTCAAGTTTGTGATATGTAGATAGGATATCTTATTTTTCACTACCTCCTCCCCTCACTTCCACCCCCAATTATCTGCAGTTCCCCCTCTGTAATATTTTACCTCTGTGGTCCTGCTCCTTCTAGTACCTTATCTCCATTTTCCGGAAGGAAAGCTGTCTACACTTCTCTGTGAATCCTTCCCCTTTCTTTTMGAGTCCACTCTTGCTTGGCTTTGTAGCTGTCAGCATTTGCCTGTCTGTGGGTGTCTGCTCCGCTGAAAGGCCAAGTCCCCTGCCAAGTGGCCTAGCTCACCTGCCTCCCTGTCCCCAAGGCTCACCCTGTGCGTGATGCATGGAAGGGGCTTAGTGAGTGTTGGTTGGCCCAAGGAACAAGATCAAAGCTTGGAGACTCAGCACTGCACCTGGAGGTCACTCTGCCTCTCAGGATGGTTCTAAGACAGGATTTTTCAATCTCGGCACCACCGACATTTTGAATCAAATAACTATTTGTTGCCAAGAGGCTCGGGAGACTGAGGCAGGGGGATCTCGAGTTCAAAGCCAGCCTCAGCAACAGTGAGGTGCTAAGCAACTCAGTGAGACCCTGTCTCTAAATAAAACACAAAATAGGGCTGGGGATGTGGCTCAGTGATTGAGTGCCCCTGAGTTCCATCCCTGGTGTCCCCTCTCAAATAATAATTATTTGCTGAAGAGGGCCACACCATGCCTTAGAGGGTGCTTAGCAGCATCCCTGGTCTCTATCCACTTGATGCCAGAGCAACCCACCTCTGCAGTTGTGAGGATCAAAGATGTCCGTAGACACTACCAATGGTCCCCTGGGAAGCCAGATGGTCCCTGGTTGAGACCACTGTTGTAGACATAGGTTATTTTGGTCRTCTTTCTGTCTCTAGGTAGGTGGTCCTTTTCTCTGATAGCTTGACCCATTACCTGTCTTGTCCTTAAAACTCAGTCAGGGGAGTAAAAACTGTCCTTCTGAACTTGAGGCTGGACTTTTCCTCTTTGGGGAGAGTCAGGGTAGGTTCCGGGAAGGGGGCTGCTTCAGCTGCTTCTCTGGTGGTGGTACAGCGAGCCTGGCAGGGTGAACTTGTGTCTGGAGCTCGGGGGGCACGTCGGGTCCTGGGAGCCCTAACTCCAGGTGTCCACGCTCTTTCCCCGGTGAGAGGATTCTGGGGGTGTTCATAAAACAGCCTCTCAGAGGGCTGCCTGCCTGGCTGTTTCCTGASCACCTTCCTGCTACAGAATGACACCCCGTCTACTCTCCCCCTGTCCTGGTGGGAGTCTGGAAGGCCAAGGCTTGGGCTCTGTCCTTCAGCATCTCCTCATGCCCGCCCGCCCTGTCCTTGCAGTCAGCGCCGAGGGGAGTCAGGCCTGTGCCAAAGGCTGTGAGCTCTGCTCCGAGGTCAACGGCTGCCTCAAGTGCTCCCCCAAGCTCTTCATCCTGCTGGAGAGGAACGACATTCGCCAGGTGGGCGTCTGCTTGCCATCCTGCCCGCCCGGATACTTTGACGCCCGCAACCCTGAGATGAACAAGTGCATCAGTGAGTGTCGGAGCTGGAGCGGGGGTGCCACCGGCCCYGGGCGCCCGGGAAGGGTGCTTTGAGCCGTTGGTGGTTGGTGAGAGATGTGGAGGGGATGCTGGTGAGAGCAGACGAGGCTCTCGATTCAGGTGTCCGGCTGCCAGCCAGACATGGCCCCAGCTATCCCAGCTGCACTCCCCACTCCTTGTCCAGACCCAGGCCCCATCCTGCACCTGCCTGTGCTCTCAGGTCAGTTCAGGGTCCCCGCGCATCTCCCTAGCCACAGACCTGGCAGCCAGCCTCCCGCCTGTGCTGCCCCCATCCACCCAGTAACCAGATGCTGGCTGCTCCCTTCCTTCCTCTTCGCCACGCTCTCCGCCTGGCTCCCAGCCTGGTCCGGGGTCTCTCCCCTGATCATCTGTGCTCCAGGCTGTATGGTCCCCCCAGCCTTCCCTCTGCACCAMAGCCAGAAAGACGCTTCCAAGACACCCGTCCTATGGCTTCCCACTTGTGCTTGAAAACCACCGTTGGCACCACACGGGCCACCAAGAAATCTAAGTATGGCCGCCCCACCCTTTCACTCTCTTCTCGCTCTGGTCTTCCAACCCTGCTTTTCCATACCAGCCCCAGCTCTCCCTGCTCCAAGGCCTGGGCTCCATTCCATCTCTGTAACTGCAGCTGCAACATGCTGGGGACACTCAGTGAGCACACCGGCTGAACAGTGGCCACATCCCTCCCAGTTGATCCTTTGAACTTTTCAGGGAAGCAGGGCCATGGGATGGTACCCTTTTTATAGCTGATAACTTAGAGACTTAGAGGGGAAATGTCTGGCCTGAGCTTCGCCAACTGGGTTCTGATCTCAGCTCTGCTGTTTAGGCATTGTGTGACCTTGGGCCTATCTCAGCCTCCCTCATCTTTAAAATGGGAGTACTAGCTTCCCCCCCCCTGGGGTTGGGAGATGCTCTGATAAGGCTCTTGGGGTCTAGCACTCAATAATGGTAGCTGCTATTGTTATTTTGGTTTCTATTTTATTGGCCACCAAACCTAGGCCTCAGAGCATCGGGAGGTGAAGGAAGAAGGGAGAGGAGGGAGTGAGGCTGAGATAAAGCCATGGGGGCTCTGAGGCACAGAGGTGCAGTAGGGAGCTCGGCAGGATAGAGGTAGGACCCCGGGAGCAGTGTTCTTGATCCTTGGGGTCGGGAGAGGGGCTCCTGGCTGGGCTGGCTCCTGGGAAACTGGAGGCCTGGGCCTTGGGCTCCAGAGACTGGGAGGGGAGAGATTGTGAAAGGGCTGCCTGTTCCCAGCCAAGCCCTGAAGAGCCATCCTCCCTACCAAGGAGAGAGCTGGCAAGAGGGTGGCAGGGAGGGACCCAGGAGTCCAACCAAGGTGGTTCCTGGAACTTGGCCTTGCACAGGGAGAGGAATTTGCCCCGGGATGGCTCCTGCTCCTCCGAACAGATTCCTTCTGCCCAGGGCAGGAGAACAAGGTTGGGATACTGTGGATGCCCAGCGGTGGAGGAGGGAGCCCCGACAGCGGTCTCCAGGGGTCGTCCCACTCCTCAGTTCCACCCTGGGTAGAGGGCCCTCTGGGAAACAGTCCTCCCACAATCCCTGCCAGGCACAGAGGGTCCCCCAACTTCTTCTCTAAAACCAGCTCTTGTGGGCCTTACCTTGGGTTCCAGGGCTTGAATCTGGGTTTGGCTTTGGGTTGGCTGATGGAGGGGAGAGTCCCAACCAGCCCTCAAGAGTGGTCACTTCAGACTCCCCCCCCCCCCCGGTCTGCCCTCATTCCTGCTTCTGCTCCTCTCCCAAGCTTCCTCTGAGATCACAGTAGTAGGCCGAGGGTCTGGCCTCCATGTGGGTGAGTGTGGATGGGTGGGCTTTGGAGCTTGGGATGAGGGGAAGGGTCTGTTCCCGGCTGGGCCAGAGACCCCCGACTCTGGTGCTGTCCACAGAATGCAAGATCGAGCACTGCGAGGCCTGCTTCAGCCACAACTTCTGCACCAGGTGTCAGGAGGGCTTGTACTTGCACAAGGGCCGCTGCTATCCGGCCTGTCCAGAGGGCTCCATCGCTGTCAACGGCACCACGGAGTGCAGCAGTCCTGGTAAGCCGTGGAGGGCGCTCACAGCCTCCCGCACCCCAGGTGGAGTGAGTGGCAGGGCGGGGTCCGGCCAGGGATCATGTGTCCTGGGAGCGCTGTGCAGAGAAAGCTTATCCCGCCACACTCACCTGCTGGGGCTTCCCCGAGGCCCTTCTGCCCTCTGGACTAAAGATGCTCTGGCCTGAGGCCCAGGCCAGGGACAGGTGGATGAGGTTGCCCTGTTCTGGTCCAGGGGAGGAGCCTCCCATATTTCCTTCTCCTCCTTTTCCCTCTCTTCCTACCAGCACCATGTGAAATGAGCGAGTGGTCCCCTTGGGGGCCCTGCTCCAAAAAGAAGAAGCTCTGTGGTTTCYGGAAGGGCTCTGAGGAGCGGACGCGCAGGGTGCTTCATGCCCCTGGGGGGGACCAYGCCGCCTGCGCTGACACCAAGGAGACCCGGAGGTGCACAGTGCGGAGGACGCCGTGTCCTGAGGGTGAGTGGCAACCTCTGCCTCCCCGGGGTCAGTCACCTYTGTGTCCTGCCAGGTGCCCAGGGCAAGGCCAGATGGAGAATGCTCAACTCGAGGCCCTATGCCGTCCAGACTGGGGGCCCTGTCCTGGCGGAAGGCAGTGCCCCAGGATGCCGTGGCAGGAGCGGGGAGCTTCTGTGGTCACTGTTCCTGCAGTTCCCCATTTCTTCTGGGTGTTCATGGTAGAAGGGCCTTCAGGGGTCAGATAGCCAGAGGGCTAAGCCCCAGAGACATACCGTGATTCAAACAAGGTCACGTAGCCTACGTGGTCATGAGGTGGCTGCTGCTCCTTGCCTGGCCCCAGAGGTACCCAGTGAGGGGCAGGGGTGGGGACTGTCTTGCCTGTGCGGAGACTGCACCCAACACCTGGAGAAGCTAGGCCCACTGGGATCCGGGGTCTGAGGAGGGCACCAGCATGTACTGAGGGTGGGGGACCTGCCCTTATGCTGGGGGTTCTCTGAAGTGTCTGCTGGTAGAGGAGTCGCTGGGCTTCCCGTCCCAGCCTTTTCGTCACTCCCCTCCTGGGACTCTGGAGCACATCCTCTGTTGATTTTTCCTGCCATGGGGTTTGTTGCAGGGCAGAAGAGGAGGAAGCAGGGCCAGGGCCGTCGAGAGAATACCAACAGGAACCTGGCCAGGAAGGAGGGCAAGGAGTCGGGCTCCGGCTCGCGGAGACGCAAGGGGCAGCAGCAGCAGCAGCAGCAGCAGCCCGGGACAGTGGGGCCATTCACATCTGTGGGGCCCACATAGGCTCAGCATCCAGATACCAGGCCTGCACAGAGGGGCCCAGAGCTGTGCTGCGTGATGAAAGCTTTCCAGAACTGGATCATCGGAGGCAGTGCACACGTGTGCATGCACACACACATACACACACACACACACACACACACACACATACACACCCCTGAGGCCACCAGAAGACGCTTTCATCCTTTGGCCTGGCGGTACACACTCGGTTTAAGATGTGCCCAGTGGGCATGTCAGAACATTTCCCAGCATCCAAACCCCAACCTTGCAGAGTGGAACCTTCGGGAGAAGCTGCTGGGATCGCATCTGCCAGGAGTGGCGGGCAGAGCCAAAGCTGGAGGACCGCAGGGTGACGCCGCCTCCCACCCCRTTCAGCATTCCCGCCGTGGGACCTTATGGTTGGAGACTTATTGTTACGCAGCCGTGATACCTATCAGGGCTGACCTGACTCYGAAAACTGCTTAAAGGTTTATTTCAAATTAAAAAACAAAACAAAACAAAAAACCCAGCAGTCGTCACTGGCACCATGTTCCTCTTCAGGGTTTGAGGATCGGGAGGTCCACATGGGAGCAAGAAGAGTCAGGGTCAAAGTTCAGAGGCCCCGAATGGCCTCTGTGACAAAGGATCCAGAGCAGGAAAAGAAATCCAGGACTCTAGGAAGGTGATCACAGGCTCTCTCACAGTCTTCTTACTCAGAATGCAGGGCCGTGGACCGGCAGTGACATAGTCACCTGGTGGCTTCTTAGGAATGAGAACTCAGATCCCATCCCAAACCTGATGAGCCAGAGTCTGCCTTTGAAGGGAGGGTCCAGGTCATCGGCATGCACTTCCCGGTTCAAGAGGTACTGCTCTAAGAACCCTAAGGAGGAACAAAGGGCTCCAGGCCAGCTCTAAAGGAGGACTTCCCACCTGGGAGGGCAGAGTCTGTGTCCTGAAGGGCTAAGGTGRCCTTCCCAAGGGAAGAGGGGTGCACAGGCTCTCTGAGATGGCTGGGGACTAAACCAAGGGGAGCAGTAAATCCTAGAGCCATCAAGAAAGAGGGAGAGGGGCTGGGGCTGGGGCTCAGTGGTAGAGTGCTGGCCTGGGTGTGAGGCTCTGGGTTCAATTCTCAGCACCAAATAAAAAATAAATAAAGGTATTATGTCCATCTACAACTTAAAAAAAATACACAATCATGTTTAAAAAAAAGAAGGAGGAGGAGGAGGAGAGGTCAGGTTGAAAGGAAGGACGGGGTGGACTGACTTCCTGTGGCATGCGGCACCCTCTGGGCTCTGGATGAGGTGCAGGGTTTGCAGCAGGGAGCCAGGCAGATGCAGTGCAGCTCTCCTGCACCTCAGGGTTGGTTGAGACAGGCCTGCATCCCGTCAGCAGAGAAGCAGATTCCTAATTGCAAATGGTGGGCTGGTGGGCRTGAAGGGCAGGCCAACACTGGCTGGACTGGGAGCTGTGGACGTGAAGACCAGGAAATGAGCCTCTGAGGGAGGCAGGTCGGAGGAGGCTGTCCTTGGGCCCAGCTCTGAAGGATGGGAAAGAGTGGAGGGACGGCAGCGACATGGCGTGTCCCATAGCAATACGTGAGCCAGCCATGTAGATAATTTACAAATTTCTAGAAGCCACAACTTATCTAACCAAATAGCTACGAACTAACCCAATATATGCAAAATACCATCTTTTAAACATGTCACCGACAAAATCGTTAGAGAGATCTTTTACTTTTTAAAAACCAAATMAATATCCTGTGCGATTTTTCACCCTTACAGCCTAACTTAATTTTGAGACAGGGTTTCTAGGTTGCTGGGGGCCTCCCTAAATGACTGAGGCTAGCTTTAAACTTGTGATCCTCCTGCCTCCGCCTCCCAAGTGGCTGGGATTATACAGGCACGACTACTGCATCAGACTTGGATGCTAAATTTTCATCAGAGATGCTTAATCTGTATTTAGACTGCATAAAAAYTAAGGTTGAAACAGAAGATTTTCATACCCAAGTTGTTTTAGGAATACTTAAATCTTCTGATTTGGATTTTTWAAAAAAATATATTTTTTTAGATATTGATGGACCTTTCTTTTATTCATTTATTTATATGCAGTGCTGAGAATCAGAGCCAGTGCCTCACACATRCGAGGCAAGTGCTCTATCACTGAGCCACAACTCCGGTCCCCTGAATGGGATATCTTTAAATGTAAGTTTAATTAATTAAAAATTAAATAGTATTAAAAAATTTAGCCCTTTAGTTGCACACTAGCCATATTTCAAGTGCTCAATGGCCACATGTGGTTACTGGCCTATAAAAGATATAACACATGCAAATGTCCTGTGCAGAAAGAAGCTTGGTGTTTCAAGAAACTGAAAGCCAGTATAGCTGGGAGGCCTGAGAGCAAGGGAGGCCAGATGATGATTCCAGAAAGGTCCTCTGGAGTTGGGCCTTTATTCTCAGAGCCAGGGAGGTTGCTGAAGCATTGTCAGCAGTAAGTCAACATAACCAGATTTGCATTTTTTAAAGATCATGTTGTCTGCAGTGCAGAAGATTAGAGAGAGGCCTCCTGGGAGTTCTGCTGTCATCCAGGGGAGAGAGGTTGGGGGCTTGGTCTGGGGTGGTAATGGTGGAAATGGAGAGAAGATGACTACGTTAAAGATATTTGGAGAGTGAAACTGGCAGATTGTGGCAATACACTGGATATGGAAGGGGTGAGTGGGAGATGAAGTGTCTGTGGCCTGTGGCCCCTTTCACTGCTGGTTGGTCTGGCTTTGGAGCCCAGGCTGCCCCCAGCCAGCTCCAGCCTCTCTCCCTGGYTCTCACCTTGCCCCGCCCCCTGACCTTGGCTCTGTCTTTGCCAACCTTCCATCGCTACTTTTTGCTGTCTCTTTCGTCACCCCTCTCTGTTTCTGTGTCCTCTTACRGGTCCTCTTTTTGTCACAGTAGCTTTTTTCTGCTCCCACTGCCGTCTCTGGCTGCGGGTCCGTGGATACCATTGTTTCTTTCTCTTTCTGCTGGTGTCAATCTTCAGACCTTGTATATCTTGGCTGTCTCTGGTTCGGATTTGTTCCAATCTGCCAGATCCTTAGGCAACTCCAAGTGTGGCCATGGACCCGCAATCTTGGCCTCATTTGAGAGCTTGTTAAAAATGTAGACTCCCAGGCCCCACCCAGATGTAAAGAATGTGCTGCCTTACCACCAGATCCCCCAGGTAATTCACGCACTTTAAAAGAGCGCTGCCATAGCGGCTCTTTTAAAGCAACAACCAGACCAGAATCCAGAAGCTTAGTCACGTCCAGGAATGAGCTGGGGCCTCCYGATCCCTTTGGTGATCCTCTGAGCCTCCGCTTCTTCAAATCACCTTCTTGAACCCCCGTCCCCTGAAGCTGCTCCTGAAGCTCTAGGCAGCTCAGGGAGGGACAGTGTGGTTCCAGGAAGTCCTGAGCCCGCTGACCACATTCCACGCCTCAGCTTCCACATCTGGAGAAGCAGTAGCCAGAGTGGGTTTTGCTATTGGTACCCAGGGAGCTTCCAGTGGTGAACCCAGTGCATCCTTCAATACCATGCCCCCCAGGACCTATTCTTGTGTGTCTCACTCTATGGTCTTTGGAGCTGGAGGGGAGTGTGGGTTTCAAAGTGAGGGGTGAGTATCCTTCCACAGCCCCGGGAGGCATCCCACTTGAGGCAGAGACCCCAGGACTGGAAGCAACCAGAGCCGGTCCAGAAATCACACTTTGTGCTTTGGTTGGGGATGAGCAAGTGCTGGAGAGAGGGAGTCTGTGTTGAGATCTAGGTGAGCCTGACCCGGCTCCCAGGTTTAGGCAACAACAGCCCATGATTGAATCTGGTTATCTGACTACACTGTTACTTGGAAAATGTTGGCTTTATCCTCTCCAGGGTCACAGACTTGCCCAGACTAACACATTTCTGGCCACCTTACCCGGTTCCAGCTCTGGTATGTTTTAGACCAAGTCTCCGGGGGATGGATTTGTTTTCCATTTCATTATTTTGGGTGATGAGGTTGTGTTTTCTAGATATATATATATATATTTTAAAACTGGGGATTGTTTTCCTCCTCTGGTTTGTTTGGGTTGGTTTAGGAGGAATGAGAGGGAATTCAGGGAAAGGGTCAGCCTCTCGGGCCTTGTTACAAGCCTCTGACACAGGGCCAGGGCTCCAGGTGCTGGCTTTTTGCCTCTGACCTTCCAGTTATATAGTCCTTATGAGAGATAAATGGGCAACAAGTAGACACATTAGTTCGTGGTGCTGAGGAAGGAGAACAGGTTCCATCTTGAGGGACTCCAAGGATTCATGGAAGAGGGCCGCACTGCTACTACTGCCAGGCAAAGTGAGCCAGAACAAAAGCCCAGTTGTCGGGGAGTAGAGAGGACCTGAAGATCAGACGCCCCGGGGTTGCTGAGACGAGAGCATACCTGAGMAGGGCGCACCTGTCCCCGTGTGGCCTCCTGCTAGCTCTCCCAGGGGAAAAAGCCAACACAGACAGCACAGGGGAAAAAAATAACAAGACTCGGCCGGAGGCTTAGCTGAAGCTCCTTCAGCACTGAGTTAGTGACCGACCTGCCCTCAACAGACCCTCGGATGCTGGCGCCAGTGGGGGACTCTAGTGGGGGACTCTGGGAGAACCTGTAAATCGGAACCCCTTCTTTCTCTGGCACCCCTAACCTACCAGGTTGGTGGCCGCCACCATCAGAGAGTCCAGCCAATGGCTGGAGAAGGTGGCTTGGGTTATGCCCTAGAGCCTTCCAGAACTTAAGTAGGATATTGCGAAACAGGGCTACATTTTGAAAGAGAAAGTATGTAAAAAATGGTTCCTCCCTCGCCTGCTTGCTCTCCCGGGGCTTGGTGCWGGGAGGTGGGTGAGATGGATTCCTGGCTGGACTCAATCTGGTGTGCAAAAGAGGGCAGAGCCCAGCCCCCATGGACTCCCCAGGCTGGCTCCCGGCAGCTGCCAGTCTTTGATTATTGATTATCGTCATTGGGATGCACTTTTTCCATCTGTTGAACATCAGCTGGGTCCATGCAGAAGGCTGGTGCCTTGGCTGCTTTGCCTCCTGAAGGGGCTGGCTTCTGAGGGCTCCCTCTGCAACCCAATACG